AAAGGGGGAAGGCTCACACTTCTAAAATGCACACTCACCAACTTACCCATTTATTATTTATCTACTCTTACCATACCGGTGAAGGTTGCAAAGAGACTAGAGTCTATTCAGTGCCGTTTTCTATGGGGTGATGACATGGACAAAAGGAGATTTCACTTAGTCAACTGGGATGAGGTGAAGAAACCTGCATCCAGTGGTGGCCTGGGCATTAAGTCTCTTGTACAGATGAATGCTGCTCTACAATGAAATGGCTGTGGAGTTACTTTAATGAGGATGTTGGGATTTGGAGGAAAATCATTGCTACCAGATGGGGAGACGCAAATGGGGAGCTATTAGTTGGGAGACTCAACCGTCCACATGGTTATGGTTTATGGAGGAAAATTCTGATAGGGTGGGATAAGTTTAAAGAATGTACTCAGTGGTGTGTGGGTAAAGGGAACCGAATAAGTTTCTGGGAAGATGTTTGGATTGATAACTTGAGCCTCATGGAGACTTTCCCAAGCATTTATGCTATTGCTCAGTCTAAGAGCATCAAGATTGATGAGGCTTATAAGACAATTAATGGTGTGGTCAGCTGGCAGGTTAATGTATGCAGAAATTTAAATGATTGGGAGGTGCATGATTATGAATCCTTGCTGCAATTATTGAAGTTACAGCAGATTACTACATGCAACGACAGGTTTTTGTGGAAACTGAGCAAGAGCCATGTATTTTCTGTAAAGTCATTCTATTCTCGTATTATGTGTTTTGATCCGGGAAGATATGGTGACTTTCCAGCCTCACAAATATGGACAAATATGGTTCCCCCTTAGAATGGCTTTCTTTGCGTGGGAAGCTTGTAGGGAAAGCATCTTGACTATCGACAAGTTGAGGAAAAGGGGCATATGCGTGGTCAACAGGTGCTACTTATGTATGGGGGATGCAGAATCTTGTAATCATATTTTGCTTAGGTGTCCTATTGCCTATAGTCTTTGATGTTTGCTTTATGGTTTAATGGGCATCAATTGGGTCATGGCAGGGTCAGTTAGGGAAGAGGTTTGGGCTTGGAAAGGGCTGTGAAAAAGTAGGGGGGACTTTGTAAAGATTATTCCTCTCTCTGTATTTTGGGTCTATTTTGTTAGATCATGACATTATTAGGATGGATGATTTTGGACATGTCATTAACACGCTAACGCACTTGTAAATGTTTTGTTTACGGGTGGTGCCCCGTTTGGCACCTTGTTAATAATATTTTTAACACTTTTTATTTCAAAAAAAAAAGTTAATTGTACAAGTATAAAACATTTTGAATAAGAACTTAGGCTGCCAGCTGCCTGTTATAAACGGCCGTTGCAGTTATGTTCAGTATAGATTTTATTATTTCTTTTAATTGTATAAACATTGAGATTAAAGGCACTCCTGGATTGGTGTGGGCTCTGCAAATATTTATGATTTGGAAGCATCTCATCATATTGGATTTTTTTGTAGGGTGCATTTTGCTCTTCATCAAATGATGCACAAGATCTCTTGGTCCAACAAACAACATCATTACTAGCTCATGATCTCTTCATCCAACAAACAACACCGTTAGCACCATTAGGTGATATCGTGTTTAATAATTTCTTTCTTTCTACTCCGACAGTTGCTTCTTCTATTTAACTTTTGGGTCATAATTAACTGAAAATATTCATTCAGGAAGTGGTAAGTGCTCAGAATTGAATAAAATTACATCACATACAGAACGGTCCAAGGATGAGGTGTGTATCAAAAAGAGAAAAAAGGAACCGAAAGGAAACACATTGAAATACAATATTCAAGTATGTATTCTCTCATGGCTGATTTTTTTTTTCTTTTTCTGTTTTATGTTGTAAAACAGTATCTGTTTCAACTCCACAACTTTTATCTATCAAGTGTAGCTAATTTTTGTAATCTTCTGATCATATGAGGACAATTGTTTTTTCTGGCACTGGGATGGACATTGAGTACCTTAAGGCCTTTCAAATTCAGAGTGCATTAAATTGATTTTTGACCTCAGGCAACTCCAATATTTAAAGTTTTTGACTGTGTCTGGTCTCCATCTTGGTGTATCAATGGTAAGCACAGTTTAGTTAGCGTGTTAAGGGGAATGTCATAAGGTTTTTCAGGAGTTCTATCTTATTTGGAGGTAGTTTTTTTGTTTTATAAATTTATTTGGTGGTAGTTGCTAACATGAACTGAACTCCCATCAGTCTTGTTCCTTAGTAAGATCATTCTGTAAAAGTCACCTACTATAGGCTCGTTGGTTTCAGTAACTAGCATGTGTGGAGATAATCAGCAAGGTTATATAAGTGGATGGCTGAGGTTCTTGATGATACAGTTTCAACAAATCAAAATGCTTGCATGGAGGTGAGATAGATTCTTGATACTACTCTTGTTTGTAGCCTTGGAGGCTCAGGATATTAAGAGATTCAAATTTGAAGGTTTGATGTTTAATTGAATTTCTAGAGAGAGCACATGGTAGAGTCAATTTGGGTTTCTTGGGCAGATTTCTTTCCGGAAATGGCTTTGTGGTTCATTGAAATCGTAGGATGAGGGACTTGTCTTGTCAGTAACATTTTCTATGGTCACCAATGGTTAACCTAGGTCTTGGTTTCAAGGGCAATCTGGAGGAGGGTGTTTCTACAGGGAGATGCATATTCCTGCACTCTAAGGGGATTGAGAATGGTGTGGTTAATGTTGGCACAGATGATGATAAATTTCCCATAAAGATATTGATAGAATTATTCCCACAGAGATTCCTGGCCAAAAAATATATATTACGATGTGAAGATTTTCATAATTTCATGATTCGTGGTCCTTGTGGTAGATGAAGATGATTTCCTAACCACAAAAGAAAGGATGATGGTAACAAAGTTGAAAAGAATGGTGTTGTTTTAGATAACAGGATTGAGGCTTTGTATTACTTGTTCTTCATGAAGTACCATGATTACATAAATATTGAATGGTGCAGTTAATAAAGATCAGTAAAAACAATTTAAGCATATGAGTAAAGGACACGATCAAGTGACTAACTCTTTTATCGAAGTTTTGGCAATGATGGATCATGTGAAGTTTATGATAATGTCAAGGCATGTCATGTTTTTAAATAGTTTATCTGTATGTGAGATGGTTCAGTGAAAGTTTTGCTTTTGCAATCCAGTGTAAGGATCTCCTCACAATATTCTTTCTATCTTCCTAATGGACAAATGATACAATAATTACTTCGTTTGGGGGACTAGAATCAAAATATCGGAATTTCTTGCTTAAATGGAGGCTGATAAAGATTATGAGTAGGCAAGACTGTTGATTTGTGAAAAATTTCCTACTAAGTTTTTTAGAACCACTAGGATTATTGGCGGACTCAAGGAATCATGGTTTTTTTCTCTTGGGAGAGTATTTTATGTCACTCCTGTTTCTATTAAATATAGTCATAGATGTTACAAATTTTAAAGATATTGGAACTTTTAATATACTAGGCTATCCTATATCCAATAATAAAATTATGCACTTGTTTGCTAGATGATGACCAAGGTTGCATACAAGAAATAACGGAAGCAAACTTACAGGGATGTAGATGTTGTATAAGGTGTCTTTTTCCATTATTTCCAAATAGTTTGTCAAGACTAGAATTTGTTTGGGAGAAAATATGGAAGTTATTAATGTATGATATTTTTGCTTCAATGTAATGGTATTTGGAATCTATTATATTTCAGAATTACACCTTTTTATATATAACTGTGAATCATGAACTTAACTTTTATTGGTCCAAGTCTTGCATATTTGAATTTGAGTGATGACGACCGAAAATCGTGTTTTAGTTGAAATTGGAAAGCATGTTCGAAGTGATAATACAAATCTTACTAATCATCATCTATTGCCTTCATAGGCTTATCCATGAGACTTTGGTATGATGCAGTATATTTATGCATCGAGTGTAACAACTTTTGCTGTATTTTCTACGAAACTATCATGATTGAAGCTTCTAAAAGTTAAGGGAGAATATATATATTTTTTGTGGATGTGGTAAAAGAAAAAAGACTTATGGAAAACTTTTGTCTGTACGTTTTTATTTTAGAAGAGAATAGTGCTGACTGTTGCATCAAATGGGTTTCTTTTTCCTTTTTCCAATGGCAGAATACGACATTCTACATTTGTAATTTTTATAAATGTAAATATAGATGCAATTTACAACATCTAAGGAGTAAGTCATTTGGCTTAATCATTGATTGATGCAAATAAAATGAACATATTTCTATAGTGCTATATATTTATTTAATTTTGATGTTTATATATTTGTTGAAAAATTTGTTACTAATGTCCAAATTCTTAATATTTATTTTTCCAATTTAGTTTCTGTAGGAATCTAATTTTTTATAGAACAATTTCTATATAGATTGTTATTTTTTGAGCATTCTGTATAACTGGAAATTCTTTTCCTTTTTTGGGACTGATCAGTCAAATGAGGGTCCAGTGTCTGGTTTTCTCCAAATTAAATTGAGGACAACGAAGCATTGTGAATGTCTAAATTGGACTTCACTGAATAAAATGTGGATTTTAAATGTAGAAAATGCAGCAAGGAAAACCTATGAATGATGTATGGATTTTCTTTCTCCGAGACAAAAATAATTAGCAAGATTCTGTGAAAGAAGCTTGTGGCAGTAGCAATAGTAAATTGTTTCTGATTCTTCCACAATTATGAGAAAAATATTTTTCTAAAAGGCAACTGTTTACAGCTGATATAAGAAAACCAATGGGGGGAAGAAAACAAAGAAATACCTGTTGGAGTACTCAATTATTTTGATTGGGGGAAAAGATTAACCATACAACATTATCCTCTCTCTACGTACTATAGCTTGTTCAATATGTGTGGCAGGGAAAGTGTTCAATTCTGAAGTTCTTTAAGAGAGACAACCAACCTCACACTTCTTTAGAGCAGGGGCATGTCAAGATGACACACAATCTGAAGTCTGCATTATCCCAGGGTAATTACCAGATTTCAATCTCGGATTTTCTTTTTTCAGTTTGTTCTCAGTAATTGAATTCTGTTGTACGCTCTCAATTTGCAGTCAGTAGCAGTTCAGAATCAAATCACAATCAGCAGCCAAATGAATGTTTTTTCTCTGATAACCAAGGAATTGATGGTAACTGCAGATTGGATCAAAATGAGGAGAGAAGGGAAAGATGCAGTTATAAGTTCGATGAGATTGACCCCTCTGTCATTGACGAGTTACCACCTGAAATCCAACATGAAATTCGAGCTTGGCTGCATCCACATAAGCTGCCAAATAAAAAGGGTTCTACCATTGATCATTATTTCTTGCCAAAGAGAACATGTAACTAGTTGATCAAAATTTTCATGTACATATACTCTGTATATAGATATGGTCTCATTTTAGCTTAAATTTACAGCCTGAGAATCCAACGATTATTTTCCCACTTTTTATTTATGTGTTATTGTGGTAGCATCCAACTTAGAAACTTGTCATCTCGTTGATTTCGTGAAGGATGCAAATTAGTTCTGTGTCGGAGATAATAACTTCAGCAAATCATTTTAGTTACATAGAACAAAACTGATTCTAATTTGATGGAAACATGTATTCCCGTTTGAAAATGATCGGTTTTAGTTTTTATTATTATTATTATTTTTAATAATTTTGCTCTACTTATTTGGTATTCGTCATTAGTTTTATCAGTTTATTTTTTTATTAATTTTTATTGCTTTACTTTTTTTATTGATTTATTAATTTAATTAATTAGTTGAAATTATTTTTTTAAACTGTTTTTTAAATCACTTAAATATGCTTTTGTTTTCTGTTAGAAAATAGAAAAAATTGGATATTTGGAACAAAAAGAAAATATTATAAATTAAATTATTATAAAAAATATTATAGATCAAAATATGACCGAGTATTAAATATTGAAGACTAATTTGATAATCTGTCATTTAATATATTTAATGCCAATCAAATAACTCTGCATGTACAATTATAATACATATATATATTAATTAGTTTTGTAACGGTTCAGAACTTCAAATGAGACATTATAAATTTAGTATGGAAGCGAAATAAGATTATGATTTTTATTATTTACACATTAACTGAAAGTACCAAATAGGTTTTACATGAATAATTCTTTTAAAAGAACAACTAATAATTAAAGAAATGAATTAAAAGTAAACAAACGGGATGTCCTACTCGCAACCCTGTTGTGGATCGGGCTCTGAATTATAGTTCTCTTGATTTGAAATAGTTAATGAAAGAGTGAGCTATATTAGTCCAGTAAAAATATCACCCTACTCATCGACACAGGAATAAAAGTTTGTAGAAATCATAAAAATAATTAATGGATCTCTTAAGTAAGCAAAGTCGTTTATAATAAATAAAATCATTTACCGCCTACTTACCGTAGTGAGATTTACAAAAACAACTTATAGAGTCAATAGCACAAATAATATAACACACATAATAAATTCATATGCAATCGGTTGAAACAACAACTTTCTCTTTTTTCAGCCTACTGGTATACATGGGGACCCATAGGGATGTCCTCACTAGGGGTGAACCCTCTTTTTACATTTTACAATTAATGGGCCGTCCCCATATCCCGTGCGGTATGAGCACCAAATTACCAAATCTCAATATTCCGTCCGGTATGAGACAACGTTCACGGTAGGGTTCCCTACGTACCCGGTTCGTTCACCATCTTGCAAGATATCCAATAAGGCTGTCGTTTCATCCATCCACTTAATCAAACAATTTCCTTTTTTCTTTTAATTTCCAGTTTTCCAATTCAACGTAGTCATACAAAACAAGCTAAACATACATAAAAAGAATACAATCGCATCATCATACCAATTTCAGTGTATTATCATGCACTCGAAAACTGTAAAATCAAGCAATCGGTTAAACATAGCAAACAATAGTAAATAACTGGTTTCGGCTCCATTAATAACCTATAATTAATTATGAATGTTTTCTAAGTTTAACAAAATACCATATTATTTGAAATTAAACTTCAATTCCATAATAGGGAATAAGGTGATGAATTCTTACTCAAATTGATGTTCGAAAAGTTAAACTTTTGACTGCGCTTAAGGTCTCCGAGTTCCCTGAATTTTCCTTTAGGGATTTAAAATGCACTTCAAATACTTAGAAATATCCCAAAAAACCCAAAATCCATGTTAGCGAACCTTTTTGGCCAATTCTAAAATTCTGGTACTGCGGTTCCACCGTGCTTCGGCGACGACACCGCCGCCCGCAACGGCAGTTTGCCTCAGGTTGCTCATTTTTGGTCGAATTTGGCCGATTTTGTACTAGTCCCTGCAAGAAAATACGTTAAGGGGCCTTAGTTTCTCAGTGCGGTAGCTCCGCCGGCTCACCTTCTCGGTTAGATATTTTGCTTTGGACAACCTGTAGAGAAGGAAATGGTGATTACAATGGTGGAAGAATTACGCAGAATGGGAATCGGGAAAGGCCTCATCGGAGGTGGTTTTTACAATTTCTCGCGGTGGCAACATCAGGCTTTGCCCGTGATTTTCGACCAATCCGCCGGTCCTTTTGGTCCGATTTAGAAATTGGATTGTTTAAAATCGAATTTTGAGCAAATAATTTTTTTTTACCTCTTTTGGCAGTCGGAAGTGGCTCCGGCATGGCAGCGGGCGGCTTCCTTCTCGGCGGCTGGCTTTTCTTCTCCGGCGGGGGTGTCTGGTGGCTAGGGTTAGGGTTTGGTGTGAAGAAGGTTATTTATATCCGTCCTCTTTTAATCTGAACCGTCCATTGCGTTTGATCTGAACCGTCTGATCGCGATTAAATAGGGAGTGAATATAGTCCGTCAATTGCGATTTGATCTGGGCCGTCTAATCACGTTTCAATAAGAAATGGATTTGAGTCGTTCATCGCATTTAATCGTGGTCGTCCGATCATGTCTGAGGAGAGAATGGATTCAGACCGTCTGTGCACGCAGAAACAAATCTGTACTGTCTGATCGCGAGCACGCTGATCGCCTACGTGGCCTCTCGCGTGGCCCCGCATCAGTGTTCCTACGTGGCATAATTTTTCTAAATTCTATTTCGACCCCCAGTTTCTAAATTGTTTTCTCAAAAATACTTACAGAATCCAAATTTTCACCCCTTTTTTCCAAAATTATTTTTTATTTTATCATCCATTTAATTTTCTTCATTTTTACATTAATTAATAGTTTATAAAATTAAAAATTAAATTTTATACATTAAATAAAAAATTCAAAAATTCAACATTTATATTTATACACTAATTTTAAATATTTTAAAATTAATTAAGGGTATTACAACTCTCCCTCCCCCCCTCCCCCTACTCTTAAAAGAAATTTGGTCTCTCAAATTTGTCTCTCTTCCACTCAATCAAATAGAGGTCTGGGTTGTACTTGCGTAACATGGACATATGAAACACGTTATGGATCCTAAAAAGTTCTAGAAGCAATGTCAGTCTATAGGTGGTGGTGCCAATTCGGTCTAAGATTTCAAATAGCCTAATAAATCGGGAGTTTAATTTTTTCCTCTTGCCAAACCTACTGATTCCCTTGAAATGAGTGATCTTAAGGAATACCCGATCACCTTTCTCAAATTCTAAATCTCTTCTCCGAGTGTCCACATAACTCTTCTGCCTGCTCTGAACCGTCTAAATGTTATTCTTAATCTTAACTATTTTGGTTGTAGTATCCTCTACGAGATCTGGGCCGAATAGTTTTCTATCACTCACTTCTTTCCAACATATCAGCAATCTGCATGGGCAGTCATACAACGTCTCGTACGAAGTCATGCCAATACTTACTTAGTAGCTGCTGACTGTCTATCAGTCTAGGGTCCCTATCGGATACTACTGTCACTGGCACTCCATGTAATTTGATTATTTCCTGGATATACATTCTTGCTAACTTGTCCAAGGGGTCGGTAATCCTGATGACTAAAAAGTGGGAAGACTTGGTAAGTCGATCAAAAATTACCCAGATGATATTATGTCCTGAGCGTGTCTTAGGCAATCCTGTCATGAAATCTAATGTGATATGTTCCCACTTCCACTCCGGAATTGGTAATGGCTGAAGTAGCCCACCTGAGCATTGATGCTCTGTCTTGACCTGCTAACATACCAAACACTTAGAAATAAAGTCGGCCACATCTCTTTTTATCACGTTCTACTAAAATTGAGGTCGCATACTTTGATACATCTTAGTGCTTCCGGGATGCATGGTAAACTTTGAGCTATGAGCCTTTATCATGATATTCCTTTTCAACTCACTGTCACCTGAAACACATACCGTGTCCTGAAATCTGAACAACCCATTAGCAGAGACTCGAAACTCTAAATTAATTCTCTGTTCTGCATCTTTTTTTAGGGCTGCTAGGGTGGAATCGGCGGACTGAGTTTTCTTTATTCTCTGGATCAACCCAGGTTGACACAGTCAGGTGGGCCAAACATGTGAATCTCTTCAGGTCTTAAAGTCATACCGGATAAGCAGCCCCTTTTACCTTGCATTTAGAAACCATCAAGTGAGCTAATATACTTGTACTTTTTCTGGTAAGTGCGTCAGCTACCACGTTGCCCTTACCTGGGTGATATAAGATATGGCAATCATAGTCATTAAGGAGCTTTATCCATTTTCTTTAACACATGTTGAGATTTTTTTAAGTGAATATGTGTTTTAAACTCTTATAGTCGGTATAGATCTGGGAGGTCTCTCCACACAAGTAATAGCGCCAAGTCTTCAAGGCGTGAATAATTACAGCAAGTTCTAAGTCATGGGTGGGGTAGTTTTTTTCATGACTCTTCAATTGTCTGAACTTATAGGTTATGAACTTCTCATGCTGCATTAGAACATAACCCAACTTTAGGTAAGAGGCATGACTATAGCCCGTATATCCACCCGATCCACTCGGCAAGGCCAACACAGGTACAGTAGTCAATCATTTCTTTAGTTCTGAAAAATTTCTTTCACAATCCTCGTGCCACTCAAACTTAACACTCTTCTTTGTGAGCTGAGTCAGAGGAGCGACTAGGCTAGAAAATCATTCCACAAACCTGCGGTAATAACTTGTCATTCCCAAAAAGCTGCTGATCTCCTTGACCGAGGTCAAGTTTTCCCAGCTGAGCATTGGCTCAATCTTTTTAGGGTTCACTGACACTCCATCCTTTGATATGATATGCCCTAGGAAGGTAATCTGCTTGAGCCAGAACTCACACTTACTCAGCTTTGCATACAACTTCTTTTCTCTGAGAACCTACAAAACCTGAGTTAGATGGTGAGCGTGTTCCTCTCTACTTTTTGAGTAAACGAGGATATCATCGATCAATACAGTGACGAATTGATCTAGAAATTATCTAAAAATCCTCTTCATCAAATCCATGAAGATGGCTGGTGCGTTGGTTAGTCCAAATGGCATGACCAGGAACTCATAGTGT